TGAAGCAAAGCCAGAAGAGCTTTGTGACATGACACCAAGGCCTATGTGGGCAGTTTGCCAGGGCAGGAGCTAGAGCACCACAAGTAATTTGCATTGTCAAAAATAAATGCACGTTACTCTATTTGGTGGTTCCTCTATCATCTATGTGACAGTCCGTAACTGTCCTGAGGGCTTTGTTGCTTTGACACTGGCACATTCATTTTGATTTTTTTTTTTGAGTTGGATTATATTTGATTAGATTGTCTTCAAGAAAATGGGTGGACAGCGAAAGCTGTCTTTTAGCTTTCTGCTGTTGACCTTTGTCATTACTGGAAAGGCCATTCAGTGTATGTGTATCCTGCAGAGGCCCTTCAAAGAGGGATGAGGTAGAAATTGTGAGCAATAAAATGCAGCAGCAGGGGTAGAAAGTGGGTTTTATAAAAATGCATACCAGTAGTCCCTTCACACACAAACTTCAGCGCCTCCATTAGAGCATTGAAAGGGTTGATTATACCTACTGGGGTTTGCCAGTGAGGGGCAGAAGGGGGTAGTTGCATGTCTCCTGAGCAGGGCAGAGCATTAGCCCTCTAGACATCTCAAATTTCTTAAAGCTGAACTACAAGCCATTTTTCAGCTAGTGCTGAGGGATCTATTTCTGCCTTCTCTCCTCCCCCAGATAACCCTGCTTCAGGCCACTGCTTCTCCTTGGTGAGGATGGTTACCCTTGCTCTGTGCAATGCCTTTTTTTTTTCCCAACAGCCATTGCATGACTCAGAGGGATTTAGTCATGGGGATGGGGGGAGGGAAAGACGTTAAACAGGCTTTTCCCTAATGAGCTGTGACGCCAGCTGGAGAGGGGGAGAATCCTGCTTTTCTACTGTCTGTTGCTCTCTCAAACTACAGAGGAGGAGGAACTGGGTCCCCTTCTGTCTGCTGATTTGCTGCCTCTTCTGTTTCCTTTCTGTTCTGTCCCCAAAGCATTTTGGCAAGGTTCAGATTTCTGTGCTTACAGCTCAGTGCTCAAAGAGAAAAGGGAAAAACAAAAGGTTGCAGGGTAGGGGGTGGGATGGTGGTGATGGTGAGGCGGGGGAGTCACTTACTGCCCTATCCCAGGACTGAGCTGTGGGACAGAGCACTGAGGGGTAAAGTTAGCCAGAGCCCTGACTTTCTAGTCTGCTTCTAGAAGCAGTAGTTGCTGCATACCTTTCTTACCTCTTGCTTAAATGCTCAGCTAGCTATTATGTATCTAGCTTTGCTTTCTATTGTTTGGGGTAAAGCTTGCCAAACTGCTGCTTTTTCTAGGAATCTGGGTTAAACTGCTGGATGTACCCGTTTCATGTCTGTTCTTTGTTTGCAAGCTGAGATGGTAAGAGTTGCACATCTTCCAGTGTGTCTGACACCAAGCCACTGAAGTTCATTGCCTTCAATGAGCACTCTGCACATTTGGAGGATGTCAGGAGGAGCTCTTTTAGGTTACAAGCTGGGGGAATCTGCCTGGTTGGAGAATAATGACATCAACATAAACAGGCTAGCAAACGATTCTGCAGGCATTAAATTAAATACCCCGTGTTTCTCCCTAACTGCTCACAGCGGAACACCCAAATAGGTACAGAAAAAGAAGTAGACAGGGACCTTGTGGGAAGGATTACAAATCAGTATCTTTTTTTACCATCAGCTATCGAAGTGGGCATCTCAGTAGCTGTTTCTGTCACAAAGACAGTCAGTCAGACTGACCCTGCAACTAACCTCCTTTTTGCTGCTTCATAAAACATGGTGTGGGGATTGGGGCTTGATCCCAGAAGTGAGAGGTGTTGAACTTCAAGAATAAATCAAACTGCTTTCTCCTTCCCTGTTTCCACTCCCTTTAGTGCTTTAGTGAATGATTTGTTTTGTTGCTTTGAAATCTCTCTCTCTCACTCTCTCTTGCTCTCAAAAAAAAAAAAAAGTGGCTGTTGCTGGCAGCCATGTGTTCATGATCATGGCAGCAACTGGAAGTCGCTGCTTCCGCTTTGCCCCAGGTGCCTGGCTGTGTCCCTGCACTGGTGCGCAATGGTGTGCTCCAGCTATGGATTTTGGTAAAAACAGATAATCAACCTTTCTTTTGGTCTGTCATCCTGTTTCTTCCTGCAGTAGCACCTTTCCAGTGCCTATAGAATACATGTTACATCGTTATTAGTGGCTTGTGAACTCTAAAAATTTAAAGGTCAGCAGGTCTTTTACCCTTCATCCCTAGTACTTTTGAAAATAATCCTGGCAAATACTGGAATTCCTTAGTGGGTTGTGGCCACTGTATAATGATTCTTAATTAAACAGTGTGTTAAAAATACTCACAGGGAAACTATTTGAATATTCCATGAGATAAAAGGCAGGCACATTATGGCAGAGACAAAGTTGAATGACTGCTTTAATGCCCCAAAGTGGATATTACACTAGATTTGGTGGACTCACTGGTTTTAGGTGAGAGTGTTCTAAAATGGAGAAGGCGCACTACTTTCCTTTCTACCTGTGTCCTAACATTACATTGTCTACAAACTGCAGTTTGTCTGTAGGTTTTATTTAAAGAGGCATAGCTATCCTGTCACATTAGCACTTATACATGTGTTCCGGGGTTGGGAGGGTGGCATTTTAATAAAAGTGGCTCTGAGAGTCACTCTCATTTAAAGTGCCACCACGTCTCGTGTATCAGTATCCCCACACTTAAAAATGGCAGTGGGAGCACTTGAACTGAAGCTCATTTGAGCTTTAGTTCAAGTGCCCCCGCCTCCGTTTTTAAGCATGGGGACACTGATACCTAAGATGCAGGAGGCTGCTGGAGCGCAGTAATTGCCACACTCCAACAGACTCAATCAATTGAATCTGATCCGACACCCTGGAATTCCAGGGCATTGGAGTAGCCTCCATGCTCGTGTATTGCTAGGGGCCCTTTGTGTTTTGCAAGTGTGTTTTATTGAAAGTTAGACGGTGATTTGCTAATGTCTTAGAACAGGGGTGTCAAAAATATGGCCCGTGGGCTGGATCTGGCCCACAGAGCCCTCTCATCTGGCTCCTGGTGCTGCTTCTCAGTCTTAGAGCCAGTCCAGCCCATGCTGTGTGGTTAGTCATGTCGGCAGGGTCAGCCTGGGATCCCTGCAATAATACCCACATGCAGTGCAATCCCAGAGTGGGCACTGCATCCAATGGATCTGGCATATGGAGTGGGGAGTGGTCCATGGGTCTGATTTAGCACATGGGGCCAACCCTGCATCATTAATCCAGCCTGTGGGGCCAGAAAAATTTGGTGCCCCTGCCCTAGAAGTAGAAACAATTATGTAGGATGTGGGCCATTTACCAAATAGGTTTCTTATACCTCCTGTTTGCTCTCAGCATCACCCCCTGTAGGTGGTGGTAGGCCTTACCATGATCCTCATTAATCTGTCATTAATCCATGGTGCTGTCAAGTGCCTCAGGGAGTGCTGTTGGACTCTGTTCCTACACTACTTACTTGCCGTCTGAATTTGGGCAAGTCACTTAACCTGTCTGTCTCTAGTGGGTTATGGAATTGACACTCTCTGCCTCAGTTTCCATGTTTTCAAAAAACTTACAGGGGTTAGGGCGAATTTCTGTTTTATGGCACACTTCGGCTACATGCCTATATATAAATCAAAATGGTGTAGTAATGAAAAGATTCTATTAAAGACTTTGAATAAAATAGTACAAACAGCATTTAATCTGTAATCTATTATCAATAACTTTATTACTGTAATTGCAGGGGTCTAATCAAGGAGTACTTGGCACTTAAATGTTTTCCTCTTTATTGATTATCCTCCTTTATTCTCTACCCATTAACCTAGCCATTAGTATAATGGCCTATGGGGTAACTCTCAGCCAGGAACCTGCATACCGTCTATTTACAAAGAAGCAAAAAAACCCCACATAACCATATGAGACGCTTACTATCTGTGTTAAATTACTTTTTGCTGTGCTGTTACCTCTTGTATTGGTACTTGTACTTATAGAAAGTAGATTGTTTGTTGTTATCTTGTTGGCAAACTTTTTTTTGCAAAATAAGAGGTTAACTAAAATTCAAATGATTTTAGTTAACCTCTTTACATGTTGAGGCATAAATGCAAATCTTGAAACTGAGAAGAATAAACATTCTCCCAGCATGTACAAGATTTCTATTAATGACTGCTTTTTATAGGTCATTTCCTGTATTGCAAATTCTAAGTGAGCTCCATTGTACTAAATAAGCCATGCTGTTTCAAGGAAAAGGAGTTTGGGAGCACAGATCTCATGGTCTGACATCACCCTTCTCTCTCACCCTCCTTCCCTCTCTTTTTTTCCCCCCTCCTTTTTTTTTTCTCCTCTCTCTCTACTCTCAGAAGTCTTTAAAAAAAACCCCAACAACCCAAAAAACTGCATATCCCTTCAAGGAAACAAATAGCATCTTCACTTCAAGCTTTTGCTTTCCCTAGCTTTCATCCTTCTCTGACTGCTTACCTGAAATTACTACTTGGCTTGGGTGAGTAAACGAACTCCCCACTGTCAAGGAAGACTGGTGAATAGGGAAATAGAAGCATCAGAATTAAACTGTTCAGTTTCTTCCCATCAGTGTGGTGTGGCACAGGCCTTGGCTTTCGAATTAGATTGCAGTGTCTCAGCCTCACTGGACCCAGTTTCTGTTCCTGCCTTTTGTTAGGAGGTTTATTCTTGTAGGTAGTACCTGTCTTGTGAAACCATTTCAGGATCTGCCTTTTCAAAATCATCTTCCAGATGTGTCTTTGCAATGGAAGAGTAAGAGAAGTTGCTTATAACAAAAGCTTGGTGCAGTTGAACAACTCTTACATAAAAATTACAAATCTGAGCTGCCCTTGTGTGTTATTGGTGGGTGCTCTGGGGGAAGGGCTGGCTGAGCTTGTAAATGTGCTTCATCTGTTGCATTACATGGTGGCTAGGCCACTTGGGTTCCTGCTCCTGGTCTGGCAAAAGGGTATTTTTGAGGAATTTGTTTGATCTTTGCCTCTCTCCCTTCTATTCATTAGGAACTGGAAGCTGCTCTTCACGGGGATGATGTGGAGTTTATCAGTGACCTGATCGCCTGCCTTCTTCAGGGTTGCTATCAACGCAGGGATATCACGTGAGTTATCCTGCTCTGTTTTAAGCACTTTTGCAGGGAAAGCTAATTAACAGTCACAGGGATGCTTCACAATTTCAGAATGATGACATGCAAGTGATCTGCAGTCATCAGGCCAGAT